CAGCATTAAATTGTGCGCCAGTTGAGTAGTACAGTGGCGAAGATGGTCCATTCCACCAATAAATTAGGAATAGTCATGTTTTGGTAGTCAGACCAATTTCATGAATGGCCACAAGTATACACAATTCCTAATTAAGAGACTGAACCAGTGGCGGATTCATTTAACAAGTGGAACGAGATTCGTGCCAATGGAGTTACGTTCTGATGAAGAATGGAATCTCGAGTCAGCTTGTCAAGGGATGTACCAGAAACTGAGATCCGGAAAAGACGGAATAACTCCAAGAAGAGAAGGACGGTTAACGATGTCAGCACCAGCCTAGAAGACGAGATGGGGAACATAAAGCTTTGTGTTTTATTCGCAATATGTCTAATCGGGACGATCAGACTTAGGTGGAGGGCCGTGATCGAATATAGATGATAGAACAAAATCGAATGACGATAAACTCGCCAGAAGCAACCAGTACCGAAGTAGGCGTTTAGAATGTTCTAGAAGCAATCGTTTTGTTACATTTTTATGGCAAGGCTTCCGGATTGTGCAGCAACACAGTTCCAGTTAGAGTGTTGCTCGTGATAAGAGCAATCGTTATAAGCAATAGTTGTAAGCTCGAAGAACGAGCAATAATGTTGTTGTTGAATTAGAAACAAAGATAAGTGTGTGGCCATTAAATTGGGACTTTTATTTAACAACGCATCGAACTCGAGAAGTAGACTACGAATAAATCGATACAGGTTTACGACACTTTTAATGAAACGATAGATCACAGACCACTGATTTATAATTAAAGTTGTTTTGATTTTAAGAAAACTCAGTATAGCGATATTTATAACAAGTAATAAGATTTATTCTACATATAGAAAGTGTTTTATAATAATCTTCCGGATAGAGGTGAACATGTAGAGGGAGCCTAAACTCATGAAACCAGATATTTTAAGTGTAGCTTTACTAGATATATAAATATATTGTAAATGTACTTCTTTAAGTATACAATTTAAGTGTTAATACTTATATTTAACTCTATATACAAAAGTATAGTAATATATCAATATGCACATTTAAGATATTCATTAATTTGAATATTAATTAGATATAAATAAATCGTTTTTCAAAAATAAAGACAATATAAAAAAATAGTAATTTATTAACAAATTGAATTGCGTTATGTCAACAAAGGTAATCGATAAGCTACATCGAATTTGTTAAAGAAACAGACAGTAATAATTATAATAAATGAGGCAACAGTTATGCTTAGTAAAGCCTCAACAAATAGATAACATAATAGTACAATATTATAGTTAAAGTAAATCTGCTAATCAAAAATATCATAACTGAATTTTGGAACAAATACTTCTGTTATGGATAAACATAGGTAAAAATTTCTAACAAAAGAATATATTACTCTTCAGCAGACTGTAACAGATTTGAATAATCCATTAGGTATTCTGTTATCTCAAAAAATACAAACGTCATATAAGGTAACTAAAACGAAACTACATGCATATACGATTGGATAGAGTCGAGAGAATATTGAATCATCAATATGGATGGTGTTTACTTTTTCCACTTGTAAAATAATAACAAGTCGAACATCGTTTGTAGTGATATACCGTTGTAGTGGATGCAATTGAATTGACTACTTATTATAACACGAGATCCAGGATCGCAATCATAAATATATTTGAAATGTGACGTGATCGTGCGATCGTGCGTAAAGACTTAATATTGATGAATCCGACATTTGATTCACGAAACAATATTATTTATATAATAATCATGTTCTCAAATTTTTTAAATTTATATTGGCACATATAAAATTTTTAGTATTTTCTAAGATCCGTAATTTTTACAAAGAGTAACATTTTTAACGACGCGTCTTTGAATGTTTTTTCAAACCTTAAAAACTTTCTTTTCTTCGAACATTTCATCAAAACCGGATAAAATTAAACAACATTATCAAATGTTATTTAATACAATATGGTTTAACAACTTGGATTTATTTGATAAATACGATCGAGATTATTTACTAACGTGTAAGTCATTCATCTGTGATCCATTAATCGAATTAAATCCGATCCTACAACATTAATATTGAAGTGTGATAGGCTCAATCTCGTGCTTTGTACATATTGACGAACCGGATGATAGAAACAAAATCGAAATACAACTGAAAATGGAACAACTAGTTAGCGAATTGTAGTTACCAGAAATGTTCTAGAAACATGTTTTTGTACAGATTACTATAAAGGCTGGCTGACATGCCAGCAAAGACAGTTGTTAGAATGTTATCGGAAAGAAACTGAGACATAAGCAAGAAGTGTAAGCTCTAAATAACGGCAATAAGGTTAGTTGTGCAATTAGAAAGATAAATGTATAGCATTAACTGGGACTTTATTAACAATCATGATCGAACTCAAGAGTTACGAGCATTTTTAAGGATCAGTTAAATGTATACATACTAGAAACTTTATCAACAGATCATGACTAAATGATCTACACATATCATGGAATCAACGATAATGATTGTGAGCTAACAGACAGTTAATTCCTAGTTGCCAGAATGCTCTTGAGGCAAGTTTATGTTAAAGATCTCTATATAGTGCTGCCGTATTGCAGCAGACAGTTCTAGTTAGAGTGTTGTCGTGATAAGAGAATAGACATAAGCAAGAGTTAAGCTCAACATAACGAGCAATAAGTTGTTAAGTGTGTATAGAAAAAGATAAATGTGCATTAAATTGGGACTTTTTTAACAATCTAGTGATCGAACTCAGAGCTGATTAAGAGAGAAATTTATTAGAAATCGTTACAATATGTAATCTATGACTTATATTATGACGATCATGATCGATATAACAAAATCGAATCAACGAAACTTCAGAAGCAATTAGAAGTTAATTCACTATGCCAGAATGCTCTGAGGCAATTCGTAAAGATCTACTATATAAGGTGTGTCGATATGCAAACACAGTTTAGAAGTTGTAAGATGATAAATTTATTGAATAAGAAAAAAAATAAATATAGCATTAATTTGGGACTTGAATTTAACAACTCCAATTATCGAACTCAAGAGTGGGTACAAAGTAAGATTTATCGAGAACATCCAGAACAGGGAATTGTAAAATGGAGAACCGACGATTTAAGATTCCACAACGAAAAAGGAGAGGAAAACGTGGTTCGTGACAAATAGAGTAAAGTCGGAATTAAATACGTTTCCGGGGAGTGCCATGGAAGCGGAAAACATTGGTGCTGATGATTATGTGTTCATTGAGTTAGGAAGAGACTACGAAGATAGAAGCCAAAAGAAGAGCTTAAATCTCCGTCAAGGTTAGATCATGAACATGGTTTTGCTGCAATACGCGGATCAATGCAAATGTCGACAAAATTTTAAGAGAGTCTGCAGGCAAGATGAATGTATATCACGCCACATGTATATAGTGCTTCCCGAATATATGACACCATCATCATTCATATATGCATAGTAATTGCCGTTCAGGATTATGCCAAATTGTTCTTGAGTAGACACCGACTTCGTATCCTGCAAGAGAAGGGTGTTGTGGAGGGTGAAGATTTGAGAGGAGGAGATGGCATCAAGTGAATATTAATTTTTGTATTTTCATATTTTATTATATTTTTTCTTGCATTCCTTTTTATATTTAAGTATATTATTATAACTAATTTTGATTAAAAGTTTGAAATTTATTAAAGAAATAAAAATTATATTGTCTACTGCGCAAAAGAATTTTTCACTCTGATAGCATTTCAGTCATTACTGACAATTTTCAGCTATGACGGATTTATGGTCAGCAATGGCTCAGAAAAAGACATGAGAGTGAGCAGTATAGATATATAGTGAATCAATTCCGATCACCCATCTGTTAAAGAGAGATGCAAACTCACACACATACGTTTGTTTACATCAGTTTTTGCACAAAGCTCTTAACAAAATGATAGAAACTTTGTTCTGCGCGCTGACAAAATTTTTTCAGCTATGACTGTCATATTACCCATCAGATGACCGTCACAGTTCTTGTAGGGTACATAACAAATGTAAACAAATAAATGTGTGAACTGTCAATGAAAACTCATCGAAAACACACAATGCCGGTCAGAACGACTTTGGTTCCACAATCCACAAATTATGTTTTCAAAAGGATTTCAATTCGGTGCGAACATAGTATTAGTAAATTAATGCAAAGTAAAGATTCTAACTTAGTTTCCGTCATTAAATTACATAAAAATACAAAAGATTGCTTTGAAAACTCATGTTCAGATAAGTATTTTACTCAAGTTCTTGAAGACGCCAAAGCTTTAGCTTCTGAAATTGATTGCGAGGTGTTAGACTTTGAAAATGTGGCTAGACCTGTAAAATTGAAGTATTTTTTCACATTATAGATACAGTAATAAATTCTTTATAATTAAGATTTTCCCTGATATTGACCATAATAAACAATTAAACAGTTTGGTCCTAATCTTTTTAACTTCTGAAACTATTTTGATGAAAAATGTTTATTGTTCCTTTAGTTTAAGGGCAACTTTAGTAATACATAGGCTTTTCTGTAATTTCCAATTGAATGGGAGAAACCTTATGTGAGAGAGAGAAAAACTACCGACATTCTAAACATATTGTAATATAAACATGCCAAAATAAGAAAAACCAATATACTGTGGCGAACACGGATGATAGAACTAAATCGACTCAACGAAAAACTGCCAGAAGCAACTAGTTAGCGAATTCGTAGTTGCCAAAATGTTCTAGAAGCAATGTTTTGTTACAGATTTACTATAGCATACACAGTTCTAGTTAGAGTGTTGTCGTGTTAAGAGCAATCAAGCTATAAGCAAGAAGTTGTAAGCTCGAATAACGAGCAATATGTGTTAAGTTGTTGGAATAAGAAATAAAGATAAGTGTGTATCCAATTGGGACTTTTATTTAACAATCCAGTGATCGAACTCAAGAGTGAGTTACAGGTAGACGATTTATCGAGAAATCCGTTACAATACAATTTACTACTCAAGAAGAATAAAAAAAGTGTAATTTCACTAAAAACAGGGATAAAGGGACGCTTATTCCAGTGTGAGAGCGCTTCAAAATTAGCGTCTTTTATAACATTTTGCATTGTAGCCAGATCAGTCAAAATAAAAATTGTTGGACATTTAAACTAAAACACCCAACATTTATTAAGATTAAAATTATTATATATATATCCGATTAACACATGAAGGAACTATTAAAATCCTTTCTTGTGATTTTGCGATATTTTAAAACAACTGGTTTTTGAACTTTCAATAGTTGAGAGAGTTGAGCATCCCTTCATCTCTCCTAATTTGGCTTTTAGAGAGGTGAGTTCTTCTTTTTATAAATATGTTGTAAAATTAATTATATTTATATTGTAAAAATAATTTGTTTAATAGAATACATAGAAAAACGCGACACAAAACCGATCATTAAGGTACGCATTGTGGTATGTGTTTTGTTTTTATAACCAAAACTTTTATTGTTACAGAAAATTTGCAGCATTGCGGAAAATTGCATTCCTAGAATAAAACCAATTCAGGTGAGTAAATTATTAATTAGTAACTTTAAAAAGTGAACAAATATAGTTAGTTAACTAATATTTAATATAAGAAATTATGTTTTAGATAGATAAAAATGCAATTTAAACATAATTATGCTGGAGGTTCAAGACGATACATGGATTTTGATTGGTATTGGTATACCATCGTTTGTTGGAGAGATTTTGCCTCATTTTCACTCATAATTTGTAAACGTTACAAAGAACGATTTGTGGAGCATCGACAGATTCTATCATATTGGGCAGAACGGAGCAGTTTAAAGTTAGTGTATGGCTGCTTGCATCGAGTATGGAAAAGCGAAAATAGGCAACCCTTCCGAGTACTTATGGTTGTTCCAAGGGTTGGAATTCCTGATGTTCTTAACGTGCAGTACAAATGTCCAAGAGGAGGGCACTTGAGAGACATGAAATCCTTGGAGCATTTGAAGCAAAGGTTTTATTGGAGTGGTTGTCAATCAGCTATAGAAAGGATTGCGAAATATGCTGAGAACATTGTAGCTAAAGGATCAAAATCCAGGAGTTATGGGCAGATGAAACAGCACAATTCGCGTGCGCCAGTTGAGAAAATAGGCGTGTATGAAGATGGTCCATTCCCCACCAATAAATTAGGAAATAGTCATGTTTTGGTAGTCAAGGACCATTTCAATGAATGGCCACAAGTATACACAATTCCTAATTAAGAGACTGAACCAGTGGCGGATTCATTTAACAAGTGGGTAACGAGATTCGGTGTTCCAATGGAGTTACGTTCTGATGAAGAATGGAATCTCGAGTCAGCTTTAAGTCAAGGGATGTACCAGAAACTGAGTATCCGGAAAACGGACGGAATCAACTCCAAGAAGAGAAGGACGGCTAACGATGTCAGCACCAGCCAAGAAGACGAGATGGGGAACATAAAAGCTTTGTGTTTGGTATCGCAAATATGTCTAATCGGGACGATCAGACTTAGGTGGAGGGCCGTGTGACGAATATAGATGATAGAACAAAATCGAATGAACGATAAACTGCCAGAAGCAACTAGTTACCGAATTCGTAGTTGCCAGAATGTTCTAGAAGCAATGTTTTGTTACATTTTTACTATATAAGGGCTACCGGATTGTGCAGCAAACACAGTTCTAGTTAGAGTGTTGTCGTGATAAGAGCAATCAAGCTATAAGCAAGAAGTTGTAAGCTCGAATAACGAGCAATAAGTGTTAAGTTGTTGGAATTAGAAACAAAGATAAGTGTGTGGCCATTAAATTGGGACTTTTATTTAACAATCCAGTGATCGAACTCAAGAGTGAGTTACAGGTAGACCATTTATCGAGAAATCTGTTACAATATTGTTTAATAAGATACACAATTTATGGAGGATCACAGACCACTGATTTATAATTAAAGTTGTTTGATTTTTAAGAAAAACTCAGTATCGCGATATATTTTATACAAGTAATAAGTTTTGATTTATTCCGTCATATAAGAACAGTGTTTTATAATAATTCTTCCGGATAGAGTGGTGTGTACATGTAGAGGGAGGCTAAACTCATTGAACCAGATATTTTGTATGCATGTGGCTTTATAATTGTAGAATATATAAATATATTGTTAAATGTACTTCTTTAAGTATACAATTTAAGTGTTAATACTTATATTTAACCTATATACATATGTGTAACATAGTATATATCAATATGTACACATTTAAGATATTCATTAATTTGAATAATTAGTTAGTAATAAGATAGTAAGTAAATACGTTTTTCAATAAAATAAAGACAAATAATATAAAAAAAATATTGAATTTTATTTAACAAAATTGGAATTGGTTATGTCAACAAGAAGGTAACCGATAAGCTAAAATACGAATTTGTTAAAAGAAACAAACAGGTAATAAATTATGTAACAAATCGAGGCAACAGTTATGCTTGTTAAAGCCAACAAATATATAAAAAATACGCTAACAAGTTTATATGTTAAAGGTAGCAAACTGCTAATCAAAACGATATCACTAACCGAAATTTTGGGAACAAATACTTCTGTTATGGATAACACATAGGTAACCTATTCTCTAACAAAAGAATTTATTACCTTCAACAGACTGTAAACAGATTTGATAACCAATGTATGTCATTCTGTTACCCAAAAAATAACAAACGCATATAAAAGGTAACTTAGAACGAAACTACATGACATAATAACGATTGGATAGAGCGAGAGAACTATTGAACACTCTCTGTGAACAATACCAAGTCGCGAACACGTTTGCTAGTAGATATCCGCTTATAAACGCGATCCAGGATCGCCATATCATAAAATATTTTGAAATGCGGATCGCGGATCGTGGATCGCGCGTTAAACATTAAATATTGACCGCGACATCAACGACATTTTGTATGTAAATTCACGATACAACGGAACAAATTATTAAAAATAATAAAAAGGCATGCTAATTTTCTCATAATTTTTTTTAAATTTATATTTACACATATATAATTTTTTTAGTATTTTCTAAGATCCGGGGAATTCTTTACAATGGTTGCAAAATTTTTTTTTTATCGAGCGCTGTCTTTGAATGTTTTTCTTTAAAACCTTTAAAACTTTTCTTCAGTTTTCTTTCGACATTTCATCAAAAACACGGATAAAATTAAACAAATACTAAGCAAAAATATTTTTAACACACTGGTTTTAACAACTGGATTTATTTCGAATAAATACTGACGAGATATTTATTGAACGTGTAGCATTCACTAGTGATCCATCAATCATTAATAATGATCACGATCCAAATATCACATTAAATATTGAACGTGTGATAGCGGCAATCAGTCGGCTTTGGTAATAATATTGTGACGAACACGGATGATAGAACAAAATCGAATCAACGATAAACTGCCAGAAGCAACTAGTTAGCGAACTCGTAGTTGCCAGAATGTTCTAGAAGCAATGTTTTGTTACAGATTTACTATATAAGGGCTGCCGGACTGTGCAGCAAACACAGTTCTAGTTAGAATGTTGTCGTGATAAGAACAATTGAGACATAAGCAAGAAGTTGTAAGCTCAAATAACGAGCAATAAGTGTTAAGTTGTTGGAATAAAAATAAAGATAAGTGTGTAGCCATTAAATTGGGACTTTTATTTATCAATCCAGTGATCGAACTAAAGAGTAAGTATCTATTATAACACGATAGTAATTGCCGTTTAGCAGGATTATGCCAAATTTTCGTTACGAGTAGACACCGACTTTCGTATCCCCGCAAGACGGAGGTGTTGTGATGGTGTAGTGATAAGTTCTGAACTCTAAGCTCCGAAATTTCTCGGATAATATTTTATATTACGGATATTACTCAATCACAAGTTTTAAAAATAAATTGAAAAGTACTTGATACCTATCAATGTCGATAGATTAGTATCGATCCTTTTTCCCAGTACCTATAAATCTGGTACGATACTGGTATCGAGTAAAGTGTCGATACTTTTGAAATTTTGTGGAACACTGAGAAGAGGAAATACCTAAAGGGGAAATAAGGAACTAACTATACTAGAACTTAGAAACTAGGATACAAAAAAATCATCCGAATTTTGTGCCGATTTCACATTTCTGAACTGGCAACTCTCAGTCTATTTTATGTTTCAGGGGATTTCCCCACACACAACACAACAAGACATTTTAGAAAAATTCCTTAAACATAAAATATAAGCAAACAATTAAACTAATTTTCCATTACTTATTTAACAGACTCCTAGTAAAAATGTTCTGCCCTAGAGACAAATTTTCGTCATATTCGAGAACAATGTAGCCGTAAATAAGTGATACAGAATTAAAATTATATATGCTAAGCCTACAAGTTGGTTCTATTCTTAAATTTAAAAGTGACGTGCTTTTATGCGGAAAATTAACCATAAAAATATTGAAGTGCGCATGTGAATTTACTACTTAAGTACCTATCTATTTTATAAATTAGATTGTAATACGTAAAAAAACGTAATATTGCACGCACCTAATTTGATATTGACCGCAAGATATGTTAAAAATGTTTTAAGTGGTATGTAAATTTATTGCATATAATTTTTTTACCGTACAGAAAGGCTGACGGTAAACTGAGCAGATGACCATGATAATTAGGTACCTTTTATATTATTCTATCACAAGACCATTCAAGAACATTCAGAAATTGTAATAAATGAAAGTTTTTTAGGGTTTATACCAATCGAGAAATCAACAGGTGTGGCCCTAACAAAAATTATCGTAGAACAATTATCAGCACTTGGATAAGAGGGCAAGGGTACGATAATGGATCTAATATGAAAGGTATTGAAAGTGGAGTTAAAGCCAGGATTAAAAGAACCAATCCACGGGCATTGGTGGTTCTTTGCAGTAGTCATTCTTTAAATTTAGTGGTAAACGACATGGCAAACTCCTCACTGGAAACTACAATTGTTTTTAATACTATGCAAAAAATAATTGTTTTTCACTTAAGATAAAGGTGGTCAATTATTTGAAGAGAAAAAGGTATTACTATAATACTATGTTCGCACCGACACAAAATTCGTGTTTTCATAGACAAAAGAGGTTTTCACGCGAAAACTTGTGTTTTCATCCATACAAAATCTGTCAAACGAAAACACAGTTTTCGCTGAAAACCCTTTGAAAATTTACATTCCACTCATTATAATCGGCGCCTGCTCTAGTTTAATCGATATTATTAGAAGACATATTTTGCGAGCCCTAAATGTCAGTTGACAATTTGATTACATTCCATAATTGGTACCCTACAAGAAACTGCTGATGGGTTCGCCAATACACTCACATTTGATATGACACTACTTTTTAAATTCAGAACTATTCACTGATTGGAGAAAGACGTACGCAGAGCTATTGATAGATGGAGATGGCATCAAGTGAAAATTAATTTTTATATTTTCATATTTTATTATATTTTTTCTTGCATTCCTTTTTAAATTAAGTATATTATTATAACTAATTTTGATTAAAAGTTTGAAATTTATTAAAGAAATAAAAATTATATTATCTACTGCGCAAAAGAATTTTTCACTTCTGATAGCATTTCAGTCATTACTGACAATTTTCAGCTATGACGGATTGATGGTCAGCAATGACTCAGAAAAAGACATCAGAGTGAGCAGTATAGATATATAGTGAATCAATTGCGAATACCCATGTGTTAAAGAGAGATGCAAACTCACACACATACGTTTGTTTACATCACTTTTTGCACAAGGCTCTTAAGAAAATGATAGAAACTTTGTTCTGCGCGCTGACAAAATTTTTTCAGCTATGACTGTCATATTACCCATCAGATGACCGTCACTGTTCTTGTAGGGTACATAACAAATGTAAACAAATAAATGTGTGAACTGTCAATGAAAACTCATCGAAAACACACAATTGGTTCCACAATCCACAAATTATGTTTTCAAGAGGATTTTAATTCGGTACGAACATAGTATTAGTAAATTAATGCAAAGTAAAGATTCTAACTTAGTTTCCGTCATTAAATTACTTAAAAATACAAAAGATTGCTATGAAAACTCATGTTCAGACAAGATTTTACTCAAATTCTTGAAGCCGCCAAAGCCATAGCTTCTGAAATTGATTGCGAGGTGTTAGATTTTGAAAATGTGGCTAGACCTAGTGCACGATCCAAGAAAAAGCATTTAACTTATGAGTGTGTTGAACCAATCATTGAGCACCGTCAAATATATAAAATTGAAGTATTTTTTCACATTATAGATACAGCCATAAATTCTTTATAATTAAGATTTTCCCTGATATTGACCATAATAAACAATTAAACAGTTTGGTCTTAATCTTTTTAACTTCTGAAACGATTTTGATGAAAAATGTTTATTGTTCCTTTAGTTAAAGGGCAACATTAGTAATACATAGGCTTTTCTGTAATTTCCAAATGAATGGGAGAAACCTTAGGTGACCACCCTTAGATGGCCAATATACTGTGACGAACCCGGATGATAGAACAAAATCGAATCAACGATAAAATGCCAGAAGCAACTAGTTAGCGAATTCGTAGTTGCCAGAATGTTCTAGAAGCAATGTTTTGTTACAGATTTACTATATAAGGGCTGCCGGACTGTGCAGCAAAGACAGTTCTAGTTAGAGTGTTGTCGTGATAAGAGCAATCAAGCTATAAGCAAGAAGTTGTAAGCTCGAATAACGAGCAATAAGTGTTAAGTTGTTGGAATTAGAAATGAAGATAAGTGTGTAGCCATTAAATGGGGACTTTTATTTAACAATCCAGTGATTGAACTCAAGAGTGAGTTACAGGTAGACAATTTATCGAGAAATCCGTTACAATATGTATATCTATGACTATATATTGTGACGAACATGAATGATATAACAAAATCGAATCAACGATAAATTGCCAGAAGCAACTAGACAGTTAATTCCTAGTTGCCAGAATGCTCTTGAGGCAAAGTTTTGTTAAAGATCTACTATATAAGGGCTGCCGTATTGTGCAGCAAAGACAGTTCTAGTTAGAGTGTTGTCGTGATAAGAAGAATTGAGACATAAGCAAGAAGTTGTAAGCTCAAATAACGAGCAATAAGTGTTAAGTTGTTGGAATTAGAAAAAAAGATAAATGTATAGCATTAAATTGGGACTTTTATTTAACAATCTAGTGATCGAACTCAAGAGTGAGTTACAAGTAGAAAATTTATCGAGAAATCCGTTACAATATGTATATCTATGACTATATATTGTGACGAACATGAATGATATAACAAAATCGAATCAATAAAATAAAGAAAAATAATATAAAAAAATATTGAATTTTATTTAACAAAATTGGAATTGGTTATGTCAACATGATGGTAACCGATAAGCTAAAATACGAATTTGTTAAAAGAAACAAATAGGTAATAAATTATGTAACAAATCGAGGCAACAGTTATGCTTGTTAAAGCCAACAAATATATAACAAATACGCTAACAAGTTTATATGTTAAAGGTAACAAACTGCTAATCAAAACGACATCACTAACCGAAATTTTGGGAACAAATACTTCTGTTATGGATAACACATAGGTAACCTACTCTCTTACAAAAGTATTTATTACCTTCAACAGACTGTAAACAGATTTGATAACCAATGTATGTCATTCTGTTACCCAAAAAATAACAAACGCATATAAAAGGTAACTTAGAACGAAACTAAATGACATAATAACGATTGGATAGAGCGAGAGAACTATTGAATATCAAATGGCGATGTGTTACTTTTTTCCCACTCTCTGTGGACAATAACAAGTCGCTAACACGTTTGCTAGTAGATATCCGCTTGTAGGGATGCAATTGAAGACGACTTCATTATATTTAAACGCGATCCAGGATCGCCATATCATAAAATATTTTGAAATGCGGATCGCGGATCGTGGATTGCGCGTTAAACATTAAAGATTGATCGCGACATCAACGACATTTTGTATGTAAATTCACGATACGACGGAACAAATTATTAAAAATAATAAAAAGGAATGCTAATTTTCTAAAAATTTTTATTTATTTTATATTTACACATACAAATTTTTTTTAGTATTTTTTAAGATCCGGGGAATTCTTTACAATAGTTGCAACATTTTTTTTTTAACGAGCGCTGTCTGTGATTGTTTTTCTTCAAAACCTTAAAAACTTTTCTTCAGTTTTCTTTCGACATTTCATCGAAAACCCGGACAAAATTAAACAAATACTTAGCAAAAATATATTTAACACACTGGTTTTAAAAACTGGATTTATTTCCAATAAATACTGACGAGATATTTATTGAACGTGTAGCATTTACTCGTGATCCATCAATCATCAATTATGATCACTATCCTAATATCACATTAAATATTGAACGTGTGATAGCGCCAATCAGTCGGCTTTGGTAATAATATTGTGACGAACACGGATGATAGAACAAAATCGAATCGACGATAAATTGCCAGAAGCAACTAGACAGCGAATTCGTAGTTGCCAGAATGTTTTAGTAGTAAAGTAGTTAGCGAATTCGTAGTGGCCAGAATGTTCTAGAAGCAATGTTTTGTTACAGATTTACTATATAAGGGCTGCCGGATTGTGCAGCAAACACAGTTCTGGTTAGAGTGTTGTAGTGATGAGAACAATTGAGACATAAGCAAGAAGTGGTAGCTCGAATAACGAGCAATAAGTGTTAAGTTGTTGGAATTAGAAATAAAGATAAGTGTGTAGCCATTAAATTGGGACTTTTATATAACAATCCAGTGATCGAACTCAAGAGTGAGTTACAGGTAGACGATTTATCGAGAAATCCGTTACAATTGGTGTCAGAAGTGGGATTGTCAAATAAATTCCCAAGGAGATAATTAATTAAAAATGGCCAAGTTTAACGATCTGAAGATTCCACAACTGAAAAAGGAGCTGGAACAACGTGGTTTGGCGACAAATGGATAAAAAACTGAATTACAATCACGGTTGAGAGAGGCCATGGAGGCGGAAAACAATAATGTTGAGGAATATTTCTTTCACGTGGAATTAGAAGAAGAGACAACAAAGATAGAAGAAAAGGAAGAGGCTCAATGCTCGTCAAAGATGGTGGACATGAACATGCTTTTTTCTGCAATATCGCAGATGGGAACGCAAATGTCGACACAATTTAAAGAGCAGGATACACGTATGTCTCAGATGTACCACAAGCCAGACATTGCCCATCAACACTCAATAAATTGATGATCGAATCGATAGTAATTGCCGTTTAGCAGGATTATGCCAAATTTTCGTTACGAGTAGACACCGACTTTCGTATCCCCGCAAGACGGAGGTGTTGTGATGGTGTAGTGATAAGTTCTGAACTCTAAGCTCCGAAATTTCCCGGATAATATTTTATATTACGGATATTACTCAATCGCAAGTTTTAAAAATATATTGAAAAGTACTTGATACCTATCAATGTCGATAGATTAGTATCGATCCTTTTCCCAGTACCTATAAATCTGATACGATACTGGTATCGAGTAAAGTGTCGATACTTTTGAAATTTTGTGGAACACTGAGAAGAGGAAATACCTAAAGGGGAAATAAGGAACTAACTAGACTAGAACTTAGAAACTAGGAAACAAAAAAATCATCCGAATTTTCTGCCGATTTCACATTTCTGAACTGGCAACTCTCAGTCTATTTTATGTTTCAGGGGATTTCCCCACACACAACACAACAAGACATTTTAGAAAAATTCCTTAAACATAATATATAAGCAAACAATTAAACTAATTTTTCATTACTTATTTAACAGACACCTAGTAAAAATGTTCTGCCCTAGAGACAAATTTTCGTCATATTCGAGAACAATGTAGCCGTTAATAACTGATACAGAATTAAAAGGTTTAATACATTTAAGTGATATATATGCTAAGCCTACAAGTTGGTTCTATTCTTAAATTTAAAAGTGACGTGCTTTTATGCGGAAAATTAATCATATAAATATTGAAGCGCGCATGTGAATTTACTACGTAAGTACCTATCTATTTTATAAATTAAATTGTAATACGTAAGAAAAAACGTAATATTGAACACACCTAATTTGATATTGACCGCAAGATATGTTAAAAATGTTTTAAGAGGTATGTAAATTTATTTCATATAATTTTTTTACCGTACAGAAAGGCTGACGGTAGATCACGCTTGTCGAGACACCAATATAAAAAACGAAGACTTGAAAAAGACCCAGAGCGACAAAAGCAAGCAGGGGCATTAGAGTCCATTTTGAAGAAAGGTGATCTAAACAGACCATCATCACCCATACCAGAAACCGGAGCTATAGCTGAAATTCCGCTTAAACCTCGAGAAGAACATACGTCCGACTCCAATATAATCTTTGAACCTGGTGCTTCAAGCGCTATTTCAGGGGAAGAGGCTATGACAGGTGAAACTGCTATTGTAGGTGAAGGTGCTATTGCAAGTCCAAGTGTTTCTACAGAGTTAACATCTATTGTAGATGTCGACCCAGCTACGTGGCCCAATAGATTAACATACACAGAAATAATATATTTGGTAAATAGGTTCTCCAGACCCACTGTATGAATTTCAATTTCCACAAGATACCAATGGTCGGAGATTTACTTCGAGATACTATAAGAGAAAGCTTAATAACGGTGAAGAAATTTTAAGAGATTGGCTTGCATATTCTGTGGCAAAAAATTGTATTTTATATTGTATTGCTTTTGTTGTAAAATCTTCAATACAACTATAATTTCCGGTCTATCTGAAGATGGCTACAAAAATTGGAGTCATGTAGGTGATATGCTTAAATCTCCTGAGACATCACGAGACCATGTAAAAGCAGGAAAATCTTGGTTAGAACTTTCACGTAGGCTCAAATCGTGTCGTACGCCGTGTCCCAGAGGATAATTAAACCAGAAATAGAACACTGGAATAGAATATTGTTACGAATTGCCTCAATCATCAAAATGTTGGCTACAAATATCTTGGCTTTGGGTATTTCTGATAATCTGTATCAACATAACAGTGGTAATTTTTTAATACTAGTAGAGTTGTTAGCCGAATTTGATCCCGTTATGCAGGATCATGTACGCAGAGTTTTGAAAAAAGAGGAGAAACAAGCAACCTACTTAAGTAAAACAATTCAAAATGAGTTTATCAATACAATTTCAGACGGCATAAAAAAACATTATATTATGGAAGCTATCATTACGTCGAAATATTATTCTATTATTTTAGATCGTAATCCAGACGCTAGTAAACTGAGCAGATGACCATGATAATTAGGTACCTTTTACATTATTCTATCACAAGATTATTCAAGAACATTCAGAAATTGTAATAAATGAAAGTTTTTTAGGATTTATACCAATCGAGAAATCAACAGGTCTGGCCCTAACAGAAATTATCGTAGAACAATTATCAGCATTTGGCTAAGAGGGCAAGGGTACGATAATGGATCTAATATGAAAGGTATTGAAAGTGGAGTTAAAGCCAGGATTAAAAGAACCAATCCACGGGCATTGGTGGTTCTTTGCAGTAGTCATTCTTTAAATTTAGTGGTAAACGACATGGCAAAGTCCTCACTGGAAACTACAATTGTTTTTAATACTGTGCAAAAAATAATTGTTATTTTTTACTTTAAGATAAAGGTGGTCAATTCTTTTGAAGAATGCAAAAGGTATTACTCTAATACTATGTTCGCACCGACACAAAATTCGTGTTTTCATAGACAAAAGAGGTTTTCAGGCGAAAACTTGTGTTTTCATCCATACAAAATCTGTCAAACGAAAACACAGTTTTCGCTGAAAACCCTTTGAAATCTTACATTCCACTCATTATAATCGGCGCCTGCTCTAGTTTAATCGATATTATTAGAAGACATATTTTGCGAGCCCTAAATGTCAGTTGACAATTTGATTACATTCCATAATTGGTACCCTACAAGAAACTGCTGATGGATTCGCCAATACACTCACATTTGATATGTCAGTACTTTTTAAATTCATTTATTCACTGATTGGAGAAAGACGTACGCAGAGCTGTTGAGAGGAGGAGATGGCATCAAGTAAAAATTAATTTTTATATTTTCATAATTTATTATATTTTTTCTTGCATTCCTTTTTATATTTAAGTATATTATTATAACTAATTTTGATTAAAAGTTTGAAATTTATTAAAGAAATAAAAATTATATTATCTACTGCGCAAAAGAATTTTTCACTTCAGAAAGCATTTCAGTCATTACTGACAATTTTCAGCTATGACGGATTTATGGTCAGCAATGACTCAGAAAAAGACATGAGTGTGAGCAGTATAGATATATAGTGAATCAATTCCGATCACCCATCTGTTAAAGAGAGATGCAAACTCACACACATACGTTTGTTTACATCAGTTTTTGCACAAGACTCTTAAGAAAATGATAGAAACTTTGTTCTGCGCGCTGACAAAATTTTTTTAGCTATGACTGTCATATTACCCATCAGATGACCGTCACTGTTCTTGTAGGGTACATAACAAATGTAAACAAATAAATGTGTGAACTGTCAATGGAAACTCATCGAAAACACACAATGCCGGTCAGAACGACTTTGGTTCCACAATCCACAAATTATGTTTTCAAGAGGATTTCAATTCGGTGCGAACATAGTATTAGTAAATTAATGCAAAGTAAAGATTCTAACTTAGTCTCCGTCATTAAATTACTTAAAAATACAAAAGATTGCTTTGAAAACTCATGTTCAGATAAGTATTTTACTCAAGTTCTTGAAGACGCCAAAGCCTTAGCTTCTGAAATTGATTGCGAGGTGTTAGACTTTGAAAATGTGGCTAGACCTGGTGCACGATCCAAGAAAAAGCATTTAACTTATGAGTGTGTTGAACCAATCATTGAGCACCGTCAAAAATATAAAATTGAAGTATTTTTTCACATTATAGATACAGCCATAAATTCTTTATAATTAAGATTTTCCCTGATATTGACCATAATAAACAATTAAACCGTTTGGTCCTAATCTTTTTAGCTTCTGAAACGATTTTGATAAAAAATGTTTATTGTTCCTTTAGTTAAAGGGCAACATTAGTAATACATAGGCTTTTCTGTAATTTCCAATTGAATGGGAGAAACCTTAGGTGAGAGAGAGAAAAACTACCGACATTCTAAACATATTGTAATATAAACATGGCAAAATAAGAAAAACCAATATACTGTGACGAACACGGATGATAGAACAAAATCGAATCAACGATAAACTGCCAGAAGCAACTAGTTAGCGAATTCGTAGTTGCCAAAATGTTCTAGAAGCAATGTTTTGTTATAGATTTACTATAAAGGGCTGCCAGATTGTGCAGCAAACACAGTTCTAGTTAGAGTGTTGTCGTGATAAGAGCAATCAAGCTATTAGCAAGAAGTTGTAAGCTCGAATAATGAGCAATAAGTGTTAAGTTGTTGGAATTAGAAATAAAGATAAGAGTGTAGCCATTAAATTGGGACTTTTATTTAACAATCCAGTGATCGAACTAAAGAGTAAATTACAGGTAGACGATTTATCGAGAAATCCGTTACAATTGGTGTCAGAAGTGGGATTGTCAAATAAATTCCCAAGGAGATAATTATTTGAAAATGGCCAATTTTAACGATCCGAAGATTCCACAACTGAAAAAGGAGCTGGAGCAACGGGGTTTGGCGACAAATGGATTAAAAACTGAATTCCAATCACGGTTGAGAGAGGCCATGGAGGCGGAAAACATTAATGTGGAGGAATATGTCTTTCACATGGAATTAGAAGAAGAGACAACAAAGATAGAAGAAAAGGAAGAGGCTCATGCTCGTCAAAGATTGTGGACATAAACATTTTTTGTCGCAATATCGCAAATGTCAACGCAAATATCGACACTATTTAAAGAACAGGATACACGTATGTCTCAAATGGAAACGCGATTGTCAACGCATTTGGAGGAGCAGTTCGCAGCGCAAGATGCACGTTTTCAGCACAGTTGTCAGCACCGAAAGAGCTCGACGTGCTATGTCAGCGCAGGTATCCTCAAGTTGGAAGAGGAGGAAGCATGTGAGCCAGGATCTTCACAGTATGAAGAAGCAAGAAGCTTGTATACCAGCACAAGTGTCTTCGCAGTCGGAAGAACTGAACGGGCGCTGCCAGCAGGTATCCTCACAGTCGGAAGAGGGGGAAGCGTGTGCCAGTACAAGGGTCCTCACAGTTAGAAGAGCAAGAAGCTTGGATACCAGCACAAGTGTCCGTACAGTTGGAAGAGCAGGAAGCGTGTATACCATCATAGGTGGAAGATCAGCATAAAATTGAACCTGAAACGGATGACTCTTTGCAAGAAGATCCAGAATTGGAAGGTGCATTAGATGAAGTGGAGTTGAACCAATGTACAACGATTAGAGAAATAGCTATAGGAAGGCCAGTCACAAAATCATATTGGGCAGAACGGAGCAGTTTAAAGTTAGTGTATGGCTGCTTGCATCGAGTATGGAAAAGCGAAAATGGGCAAACCTTCCGACTACTTATGGTTGTTCCAAGGGTTGGAATTCATGATGTTCTTAACGTGCAGTACAAATGTCCAAGAGGAGGGCACTTGAGAGACATTAAATTAGGAAATAGTCATGTTTTGGTAGTCAAGAACCATTTCAACGAATGGCCACAAGTATACAAAATTCCTAACCAAGAGACTGAACCAGTGGCGGAGGCATTCATCAACAAGTGGGAACGAGATTCGGTGTTCCAATGGAGTTACGTTCTGATCAAGAATGGAATCTCAAGTCATCTTTAAGGCAAGGGATGTACCAGAAACTGAGTATCCGGAAAACGGATGGAATCAACTCCAAGAAGAGAAGGACGGCTAACGATGTCAGCACCAGCCTAGAAGACGAGATACGGGACATAAAAGCTTTGTGTTTGGTATCGCAAATATGTCTAATCGGGACGATCAGACTTAGGTGGAGGGCAGTATGACGAACACGGATGATAGAAAAAATTGAATCAACGATAAACTGCCAGAAGCAACTAGTTAACGAATTCGTAGTTGCCAGAATGTTTTAGACGCAATGTTTTGTTACAGATTTATTATATAAGGGCTGCCGGATTGTGCAGCAAAGACAGTTCTAGTTAGAGTGTTGTCGTGATAAGAAGATTGAGACATAAGCAGAAGTTGTAAGCTCAAATAACGAGCAATAAGTGTTAAGTTGTTGGAATTAGAATAAAGATAAGTGTGTAGCCATTAAATTGGGACTTTTATTTAACAATCCAGTGATCGAACTCAAGAGTGAGTTACAGGTAGACATTTTATCGAGAAATCCGT